TGTGCATGTGGAAAGCAGAGGACAACTTTAAGGAGTCACTTCTATCCTGTGGGCCTCAGGAATTGAATTTAGGTTTTCAGGTTGGTAGCAAGTACCTTTGCCTGCTGCGCCATCTCCTTGGTCCTACGCCTTTAAAAAATATTTTATTTATTTTATATGTATGTTTTGCTTGCATGTATGTCTGTGTACTATATGCATGCCTGGTGGCCTTGGGGATCAAAAGAGGGAGTTGGATTCCCTGGAACTGGAGTTATGGATAGTTGTGAGCATCTATATGGGTGCTGAGAATTGAACCCAGGTCCTCTGCAAGAACAATGCTCTAACCATCGGGCCATCTCTCCAGCTCCATGTGCCTTCTCCCCTCTCCTCCATCCCCCCAAAAAACGTTTTGGCCAACCTCAAGGTAAATGGGTAAAGTTTAGGATAGGACTTAAGATGATGAAAGTAAAGATACACCTTAAATGGGAAAGGGAGGCTTGTAAACAGGGTCTCTAACTTGCTTGGAAAACATCTCTTAGCTCTGAGTGTTTATATTCTATCAAAAAACCCATTAGACAAATAGATACTGTAATTCCTGGCAAGGGTAACTGGCCCAGAGTCTCACAGCTAGTAAGCTTGGCTTCCTGAGTGTAATTTTAGCTTCTCAGCTCTGCAGGTAAGTTCTCTTCATCGCTTCATTATATTGATTCTGAGGTCACTGTGTTTTATGGATTTTTTATTTTTATTTTCAGTTTTTAAATTTTATCTCTGAGTGTTTTGCCTGCTTGTATATCTGTGTATCATATTTATGCCTGGTTCTTGGGGCCACAAGAGGGTGTTGGATCTCCCAGGACTAGAATTAGAGACTGTTGTGGGCTTTGGGAATTGAACCCGGGTCCTCTGGAAAAGCATCCTGTGCTTTTAACCAGAGCCATCTCTCCATCCCTTCTTGTATGAATTTTTTTCACTATCTTCCATCTATTTTTCTTTTGAGACAGGGTTTCTATGTAGCCATGACTGTCCTGGAACTCACTCTGGAGACCATTCTGGTCTAGAACTTGTAGAAATCTACCTGCCTCTGCCTCCTGAGTGCTGGAATTAAAGGCATGTATCACCATAGGCCATTGTTTTAATCTGTGTATTTTTCAGGTACATTTGGGCCAAATAGACTTGTAAAAAACCTAACCACTTTTTTTTTTTTTTTGGTTTTTCGAGACAGGGTTTCTCTGTGTAGTTTTGGTGCTTGTCCTGGATCTCACTCTGTAGCCAAGGCTGACCTCCAACTCAAAGAGATCCACCTGGCTTTGCCTCCTGAGTGCTGGGATTAAAGGCATGTGCCACCACCTCCTGGCTTACTTTTTTTTTCTTTTTTTCTTTTTTTTTCCAGAGCTGAGGACCGAACCCAGGGCCTTGCGCTTGCTAGGCAAGCACTCTACCACTGAGCTAAATCCCCAACCCCTAAGTTCCTTTCTTTCTTTCTTTTTTTTTTTTTGGTTTTGTCGAGACAGGGTTTTTTTCTGTGTAGCTTTGTACCTTTCCTGGAACTCACTCTGTAGCCCAGGGTGGCCTCGAACTCACAGAGATCTACCTGGCTCTGCGTCCTGAGGGGCTAGGATTAAAGGCATGCACCACCACCGCCTGGATTTTTTTTTTTTTTCCGAGACAAGGTTTCACTGTGTAGCTTTGTGCCTTTCCTGGAACTCACTTGGCCGCCCAGGCTGGCCTTGAACTCACAGAGATCTGCCTGGCTCTGCCTCCCGAGTGCTGGGATTAAAGGCGTGCCCCGCCCCCGGCCCCGCCCCCGCCCCCGCCCCCGCCCGACTGTCAAATTTATTAAATTAATTTTTGTTCTTTTTTTTTTTTCTTTAGAATTTTCGAGACAGGGTTTCTCTGTCTAGTTTGGTGGCTATCCTGGATCTCGCTCTGTAGACCAGGCTGGCCTTGAACTCACAGAGATCCACCTGCCTCTGTCTCCTGTGCTGGGAGTAAAGTTGTGCGCCACCACCACCCGGCTAAAGTAATCTTTTTTTTTTTTTGGTTTTTCAAGGCAGGGTTTCTTTGTGTAGCTTTGGAGCCTGTCCTAGAACTCACTCTGTAGACCAGGCTAGCCTTGAACTCACAGAGATCCGCCTGCCTCTGCCTCCCCCTCTTTTTTTAAATATAATGCTTTGTGTTTGGATAACTGAGTCTGAGTACTAAAAGAACCTATAAATGAACTAT